TTTTGCAGAACCAACACCACTTATTGTTCACCACTTACCGATACAGTTCGTCGACACTGATTTGTTTGTAGACAAGGGCCCAGAGCTGACAAAGTGGATATTTGTAAACATACCAGTCTAACGACAGGTTCGGGTCCATTTTGCGATCACGAAAGTCAATCTAGATAAAATTGGTATTGTCATGGTGAAACTTACGTTCGTGAACTTTCTGCTGGCAATTGCACGGGCAACTGATTGGAGCAGGGAAAAAATATGCAAATGATACTCCTGACTCTCGGATTTCTTCAGAATATGAGGCTACATTGTCATAGTGGATGGCGTGCTCCAGTGAAATATGATGGTATACCAAGCTGTCTGCCCAATGTCCATTTTGCCTTTCGTTTTCAGGCAAGGGTAAATCTAGACAATTCAGACAAAAGCACCGGAAGTGACAAGGAGAAACAAATCCACTGTTTTGGTGGCTTGACCTTGTGAATTATTTGGCTTTTACAGAGACAGTTCACGGAACGAACAGACGTCGCACATGATCCGCAACTGTATGGAAAATGCGGTTCTGCGATAATTCAAAACTGTGTCATCATCTTCACGCCGATAACGCCGAGTTCTTCCGACTTGTGCAGGTGGCGCACTGTCAAATAAGTTGCAGTACCAGCCAACTCACTTGATTCAGAAACATTCAATACGTCTACCGTGTAGTAACTTGGGATCTTCGGGAAGCGAAATTCACCTGAGGACGTGAATTTGGAAGTTTCATGGAACTCCTGTAGAGGAGCTGTCTGGCTCAACTCCAGAACCGCATCAAATATCAGATTTGATGTATGGCAAAAAGTGAACTGGGTCCATTCCTTTGCGACCATATACTGACCCCATACAGCACTAAACTTATGCTTTCGAACATTCCGTCGATGACATGCTTTTAAGTATCTGGAATTTGATTTTGACCTCACGATTTCGAATTTTCCAACTCACGCTGGGGGCATTCACTTCCAGATCTCTTCTTTCTGTTATAAATACCTGCAACGATCAGATAACTACGCGATCGAGATCCAATCTTGTTATTGAGAAAATCACAAACATTCCAATATTTGAGTTGCTGTCGTACATATATATCCAATGACGAGGAGTATAATCAGCATCAAATCTATTCATGAACAATGTCGTAAGAAATTACGTCATAAATTGACATCTGAATTTACGAGCATTCCTTATCAGTAACATTTCTCTCATTTGTATCCCCTTCACATTATGAATAAGTATTTATCGAGAGTACTTGGATACCGACTTGACAAGACAGATGTCATTTTCATTTTACAGGCTCAAGCGTCCAACCATAAATTTTCTAGTTTCAGATACTGGTGGGTGAAACCAGCAGAATAGTTCAGAAATGTTGTCAACCAATCGGACAGAAACCAGCAACACTACTCAAAACCAAGTGATAGTGAAAATTTTTTTGAAAAAGAAAATTATGGTCATTTATACAAGACAATTGTTGCTATCTTATTGTTTCTTCTTTACAATCTAGTTCTCATACTTACTTACAGCGTTATGAAGTCACATTCAATACTTGCATTATCATAAAGAAAACAGTTCAGATTAATCTCAAACCAGTGAATGAAAATTTGAACAGAAGTCTAAACTACAGTTTTGAGCTGAAATACACGATTTGAGTAAGGTTGCATTGTTATGCCACAATTCTGGCCAATGAAATAGCAGACCAGAATATGACTTCTGAACTGTAATGAAGTTGGTCCCTGAATTATATATGAGAAGTAACATGTGCCCCAAAGTTGACTTGTTAGTCGATATGAAATCCAATTTGACCTCAAGTTAGGTGCAATAACTATAACTTCACGTGCATATTTAGGAAGAACTTCTGAGAAGAATTCTTTGATGTGCATTTGGGGTAACTAGCGATGAGTTTTCTCTCAGAATGTCCCTAATTTTCTCCAATAAGCTTATGCTTATTCATGTGGAAAGCGATGAATCAAACCAATGGCTTAGCTTCCTATGTTCGATTAGTTCATTTGTAATTCTGTATACTTGAAATATGTACTCTTAAAGCATTCGTCTTGAACTTGCTTTTTATATAATTCCCTTCATCTTGTACAAGCTACAATCAGTACGTACCACAGTTTTAGTGAGTGTTCTAGCCTTCCAGCTTAAAGGATGAAAAACCCTTGACGGTACATGTAGAATCGTTAGACAAAACTTGGACTATTTTTCAATTCTATACGAAAAAAACACTCTTAATTTATGATCTTCAACAGGTCCGACCACTATGTCACCAAATGGAGATATATGCACGTTTTAATCGCTAACATCGAGGGTTTCATTCATGGCTGGGTTCCAACAAATGAAGAGTGAGTTTATTCTTTATGTTTTTTTTATTTTGAGAATTAGGATACTAACATATCTGTGATATTTTGAATTAGTCTAAAACGCTTGATAGAATTGATCATCTAAACACCAGTATACTTAGAAATCAAAATATATACAAAACAACAAACTATCGAATAAAATTTTAATTGATGAATATAATGGATATGTAGAGAATTGGAAATGAAATAGCCAATTTTTATTACGATAGATTTAAAATATATTCTTGGCAATATGTGATACATAGATGCCAAGCATAAAAATTCACAGCGAGTTATGCCCTGACGCCTAGACATAGTTTAAATCCATAGTTGTACTACAATGATCCTGAACGTATCTAGCGTTGATATCCCACAGACTGTCCTGAATGTATGTCTGGGTCTAAGCGCTTCCCGTCTCTAGCACTAGTTTGCAAAGACCACGGCCAAATGAGAGAGAAAAAAAGTACATTCTATCTTTCAACTCTGCGTAAAACAAGCTGCATTGATGTATAAACAAAAGAGGATTTTGACCATGGAAACAAGAGATGGAGGCGAAGATATTACTATGATTTAAGGATACGCACAATAGAAGGCTAATAGGAATGTTACGATTGCCCATTAATAATGTCTTTATCAACTGGAACCCGGAACTCTGGAACATGTTCGTATAAACGGCAAAGTTTCGATCTATATCACTTGTATTCTTGTCAAAATTATTGATGACTCAACCAACAGTATTGGTGTGAAAGAATAACATTGCGGCTCTTCTAATCGTGCCCATCATACCATCATGAAGTCGTTGTGCAGCTACCAAACTTGAAAGAATCAGCCAGAAAGAATTTGGCAATGTCACTATGACATGTTGCGGTTAGTATGATAGGTATGTGCAGGTATCGATCGCTAAATAATGTATGAATTAGAACCAATAATGTACAAAAATGTAATGAATTACATTTGCGTTGAGTGCTAATATGTGATTCAAACCAATTTTGCAGCTAAGCATTTCGAATTCATCCATGCGAGTACCAATTATTCTAGAAAAAGACTAAAGGAGCCTCCAATGAAATTTATCTGATTAACCAGCACACAAAGGGGTAAGTTCGGTAAGAAAAATAAATGCCTTGCCTGCTATCAGTTCTCCGCCCAACGCAGATTACATCCCAAAATCAAGGACAGTAACACTGTTCACCTCTCAAACGGATTGATATAACAATTGTGATTCTCGTAACCAGCTTAGTTCATCTGGCTGTGTCGTAAAAGCCTTACCCCTAAAACTCATATAACGGGGATAGCATTTCGACAGACAAATAAATTCCATATGTTCCAAAACGAAACGTAATGATAATCAATATCTACACTACAGTTGAATGACGTTTCATGATCTGTCCTTTGATATTCTGAATCAAATGACAGAGTTGCAGACAACAACACGCAATTTCTTCATGTTAGAAATAAAATATTGTTTCATCATACTACTAAACGTCACTTTGTCATGAAATTCTATTGAAAGCAACTTCATATACTTCATACTTATTTAACACGTGCTATAGCAGCTAAACTTTTGTTCATAATACCAATGCCAATATTCTTGTATGTGGATAGTAAACCTTCTCTGGTCTGCATATGATTCATGAGTCCGAATATGATTCCAACGTCATTGGATACGTTTGCGTTGAAAATTGTTGGCTGTTTTTTAGAAGGGCCAGACTAGGGACACACCCGTTTTTGCTACGGCCACATCCGCCCGTGTAAGTTGCCTCGATCAAAGCCGCCGAAGGGGGTTGAAGCGGCATGGCAGTCGAAATAGATCAATAGAACGGCAGCACCGGCGGCAGCGGTACAAGCGGCAGCAATGCGGGAGACAGCGACGGCCGCAGCGGCCCCGCGCCCCTCGAAGCCTCTCGACTAGGCTCTCCTCTGCCTCGCAGACGAGCTCGGCTTAGTAGTTGGGTTTGAGAGGAGGCGTGCTTTGACGCGCAATCAGTTGTTTATATGTATCGGGTGTGGCCATAGCAAAAACGGGTGTGGCACTATCTGCCCCTTTTTAGAATTATAAAAAAACTGGTAAGAACTTCAACAAGAAAAGATAATAACCTTTCCTACTGCGGTTTCCTGGCTTTAGAAATATAAAGAAACTCTTTCTCATTGTAATCCTCGACAATAACTTCACAAGAAAAGATAACAAGCTTTTCTTCTCCGGTTTCCTGGCTTTGAAAATATAAAGAAACTAAAACTCGCTGTCGTTATAATACTCAACAGTAACTTCACACATGAAGATAATAACCGTTTCTTCTGCGGTTTCGTGGCTTTGGAAATATAAAGAAACTCGCTGTCGTTGTAATACTCAACATTAACTTCACAAATGAAGATAATAACATTTTCTTCTGCGGTTTCGTGGATTTAGAAATGTAAAGAAACTCGCTGTCATTGTACTACTCAACACTAACTTCACATATGAAGATAATAACCTCTTCTTCTGCGGTTTCGTGGCTTTAGAAATATAAAGAAACTCGCTGTCGTTGTAATACTCAACATTAATTTAACAAAAAAAGATAATAATTTTTTCTTCTGCTGCTTTGTAGCTTTAGAATCTGAATACAAGGCTATCACAAGTCAAAACTTGTAGTCTTTTAGTATGTCCTTACAAATGGCAAGTTCCCGAGCCTTTCACATCATGGATCCATCACTTGACACTACAGTTTCACGAAGTAAACAGCATTTGACGGCGCATGGTTTCATATGAATTGACATAGAAATTTTATGATACATATTGAGTTGAACCGAAGATAGAAATTATCATCAAGGAAAGATCCTGAACAGATTTGTCTCACCTATTGTAACTTACAGAAAATAGCCACCGAGCGAATGTACTTCACTGAGCACAAAGATACAAATACGAAGATAATTGTGGAGGTCTTGTTTAACTTTAACACGATTAGAAGATGTCTTCTATCGAAGAGGCAGAGATGCTCAAGAAGTATCATGCATCTGTAAATCAAGAAGAGATGGATCTGGGTCTGATCGAACACTTACTGCTTAGCGTATGTAGGGTTCCATTGCCAAAGATACAACCTGTATCTTTGGCAATGGAACCTATACATACGCTAACAAGCACTCAGAATGAAGAAATCATATTCCTGCCAGGATGGGAAGATATACCCTGGACCAGAGAATGCTTATAAGCTTCATGTGTCTTTGGAAACCGTTACCAGTTTCTAATACTTCCCTTGCATTCAGTGGTGCCTTCTGACGAACATAGAGAAGTCTTCCAACTGCCACCTCCGTATGTTCGGAAGATTATACTCGCAGCAAATATTGCAAAGAGTGCTATTACAATAGATGACGTTGTGTTTGTAATTGACAGTGGGTCTGTATATAAACAGACCGCAGACCCATGTACGCATCTTCGAGGTAAAGATGACAGACGTGTGCTGACCTTTAGCTGAAAGACACCCCTACAATTCAAAAGCGCGCGAGACAACTTCTCGTGTTTCCAGTGAAATCACCTACAGAGTGTTCATTCAAGTACTTTGAACATTGCTGCCATTCGACCCTCTTAACTTTCTTCTTAACCTGGTTGCAATACAGGACGGTTTGCACGGGCCTAGTACACGAATGATTCCGCATATATAATTGAAACCTACCCCACAACCTACGGTGCATTGCCCGATATCGGGTCGAAACGAACGTCGTACAACCCTGGATTCAAACAAGTTGGAGGCAGGAATGTGTACATGTCCTGAACGAGTTCCTGCCCAACTAAGTTCCGTCTCTACCACAAGAAAGAGCGATCGAACCCCAAGAAGTACAACCGCTACCGGCACCAAAAACGAGAAGGCTTCCGCTACAACAGGAGTCCCTATCGCGCGCCAACCGACTCCGGGATTAGAGCAGAGTACGATCACCAAAGCGTAAGATTCGCAATTTCCCAACAAGTGCACACCGAAGAAAGGTACCATGACGAAGCCGTGACCGAACACCAAGTTTACTCTCGTCAGCAACCCAAAGCACCTCGGAACAACACTGGCAGTTGATCCGGGCAGTGATGCAGCGGCGTTTGCACGAGACTTCTCGAGGAGACCTGAGGGTTTTGTTTACCTCAGCGTGTGGATACCGTGCAGCTGTTCCGGTGACCTGCCATATCATAATTCAATATGATTATAGTTGTTCGATAAACCGGGAGAAAAATCATGGCGCGAAAAAGTGCTGCTTCCACTGAGAGTTGAACTCAGGACCTCCCGCTTACTAAACGGGTGCTCTAGCCAACTGAGCTATAGAAGCTGTACGTTTAACAAGACAAACAAGTTAATTTAATTAATAGTTTAAGCTTTTGATTCCATTCCACGTAACAGAATCGAAGGTCATTGCAACATTGTAATTTTCAGTTTCATTATTGATTATTTTGATTACACAAAAATCCAGAAAAAGAATAAATAATTTTTCATCTTATTTCCATTCATGAACGCTGAAAGAAATTATTATTGTTCCAGTATTCGATCCACACTAATGTCTTATGGAACTAATCCTTGTTTGGCTCCAGGCCCCTTGCTCTAAGAACCTATGGAGAGAGAAATCTGCGTCCAGTCTGTAACGTGGTACTGGAGTGCATTAATCCGGGTCATGTAATTCAACATCGCGCCATCCTCGTCATCAAACAAGCAGAGGGATAAAGTCCATAAAGTTCAATTCTGTTGTCCAATTCAGCCAAGTGCTAAACGATGTAGAAAGTCATTCGTTAATAGGATTGACGTCAGGCAATCTCCACATTGTGTAAACTGCTCAAACGGTGCTCTCGTTGATGACGATGGACACACTCGCCAAGCAGCATTGATAGCACTCCAAAAAATTGTAATCTAAGGTCATGAATGTTCTTTTACTGTCATGCGCTCATGGGTTGTCAAGGCCATTGCATCAACAACATCAAGTTTATGAAGTACATGAGTTTTCAATCTCTTTGTTATTGTAGTGATATGGAAGTCAAAATTTTAGCATGCTCATGCAGACTTTGACATCCATATTAGATGACATATATTATCATTGACTTCATCAGTTTATGCAATTTATTAATCGATATACGAATCGATAGAGTTAGTTTTTTGATAGTCTGCATGCTGACCATTTCGACTGGACAATTCATATTAATAGTTGCTCCCAATGTGATAATTCGGGGGCTAGTCCCGTCTTACCTCATGGTTTCATCCTCTGAAGATGCGATGGATTTGATGAAATCTCGTACTTTTGTACATAGTTACTCGGATACCCCTCCATAGGGACAATACGCAAGAGGTCAGGACAGGTGGAGGTGGAGCATTCTAAATTTGGAGATCGTGCTGGATGCCAAGACCGGAATGCCACGCTCTCACCGGCGTCGGGGCACAAGAGATGCCGTTCACAGGATTCGGCCGGGACGAATGAGCCACGCAGAAGTCCGTCAATCGCACCTGGCCCGCCCAAAAAGCGTGGGCGAGTTTGTCACATGCCCGCCTCCAGCACAGAGCGGGTGGGGACCATGTGCACCACCTCAGCAAATCGTGCCGGAATTGGGGCCCGAGAAGGCCACATCAGCGGACTTGGTCAGCAAAAGAGTCCTACGTGACGTCAACCGCCAGTTCCGCCTAACGAGAACCTGCGAGAGCGGCTGCCACCACAGACGGCCTGTCAGACCGAGTCACCGCGGTCGGGCGCCAAGCAGGCGTCACCTTCCCAGCAGTCCCCGGGAAAGTGCCGGAATTAGACCGAATCGCTGCTGGCCCTAGAAATGGAGGGAGCTTTCCAGGAATCTTGGGAGGGGGGAATATCGTGTGCTACAGAGGTTCCCAACTCTTGGGCGATCTGGATAATGGAGGCCGATATCGGGCAAAGGGTCGAGCTCTGAAGGCTTCAGATCTTCCTTCGCTGGAGAGGGAAGAATCTGGCAGATCGCAGCGCCGCCTCCCTCGTGCCCTCGTCCCCTCTCGCGCTTGCTTGCTCCCCCACCGATCAAAGCTGTCAGATGCCTCGTCCCGCCATCTGCTTCCCACCGGTGAATGACATTGCGCAGCGCAATTTGGGTCTAAGTATCTAGACGCAGCGTTCCGAAACCGTAAGGCCTCGGCTCGCAACCGAAGTCCAATAATGAATGACTCGTGATGTGCTCCCGCTACCACCGACCTTCCTCGCGCCGGAAGCTGCAAGTGCGCCCGTCGGCTTTAGAGGCATTCTGCATAATTGACAGCTTTACGTTTTTCGAGTCGGTGGCCTTCTGAACTTCCTGGGTCCACCGACTTTGACGAGTGGTCGGCTTTGGCAATTATAAGTCAAGTCAAGTTACACAAGTGCTGCCCGGATTGCTTTAGATTCGATTGCAAATATAAAAACGCTGTTGCCTGTGCTTTAGGTCGAAGATTGATCGAATTAGTTCGGTTGTGTAAAACTGTTCGTTTGTTACCAAATTGATCACAAAAGTTGGACGTTGGATCAAGAGGTTTTTAATTTGCTACCGAGGTGCACACTCGTAAAGTTCAACGATCAGCCTGCATCTAATGTCAATCTTCAACTGCCCATTTGGCCGACGTTTGTTCTCCGATTGTGCTTTCCTTCCTTCAGACGAATCATTTTTCTGTCTATTTTCCTCATCTTCCCGTACTTCTTGAGTACTTGCGCTTTCTTTCATTATTCCTTTCCCCCCCCCCCCCTCTCCCCCCCCCCCTACAAGGAATTAAGATCTTTCAAAAGGATGCACATTCACGTAACCTCTCTTCTTCCTCGTGTTCATATTTACGCTCCCTGCACCGTCTTATCTTGTTGGGCTTGCTTAGAGACAAGTCACACCGCAAACTCTTCTGTGTGCTACGACAATCTTGTTTGAGTATCACGCGAACGGCTGGTTGCGAGTTAGAACGCAACAAAGTAAACTACTACATTATGAAGATTAGATAACTCACTATATGGTTGAATCATGGCATTTGAGAAATCTCAAATCTCCGTTGTTTACCTTCGATTCGTCTTGTCTTCCCGGCGCGTCACTTTTGCAACTACCGTCGACGGTTTGGTAGTTTGCCTGGTTCTCCGCGAACTCATGTTTTTGTACCCCATTTTCACAATATGCCGCTCGTTCTCCGAGATTGGTGTATCAGAAGAAGCCGATAGAGATCGAAGAGTATGGATCCACTATTTTGGGTATCAGAAAAGAATAAAATTTGTGCTTCGGAATCAAACACGCATACTTGCAGAAGTGGAGAAACATGCAATGCCGTAGGACAGCAACCAACACCAATGGCATACCACCTCGGTAACCTTCCACTGTTTGCATAGATGACCACGCCACAGCAGAAATGTAACTCTAGATTTAGTACAAAGATGTACGAAACTCTTTCGAGTCAGTAGATAATACCCACTCGTTAACATCACTTATAAAAGGCTTACCATATTCCACTCTTGTTTACAAAAGGTCTTCTCCAACAGCGGTGATGATTCACCATCAAGATTTACAAAGAATTTTTCGGGGGTACAGCCAATGACCTGGCAAAGACGTTCAAAGTGAAAGTCTCTCCATCGATCGCCTGGCAGAACTGTCCAGACCGTTTTCTATGTACAATAAAATAAAGGCATGAAGACAATCCTCTGAATTGCCAATTCCGAAGGACAGAGCTGCAGCTATACAAAATTCAGGGCTGTAGTGCAATGTGCATTTACCCCACCTATTCTTTCCAGGGCAAAGAATAATTCGACTAATCAATCAATTCTCCCCAACAGCGAAAGCCCTAACATCATGAATTATGAACAATATGTACAATGGGCCAAGCTGCTCACTGGTACCAAAGGTAAGTTATGATACAAGGTGTAAGTCTGGCTTCTACGAAAAACTCGCGATACTCGCGTTTTGCTCCTTAACGGCCTGCTGACTTCTTCGGGCCTCCTCGCTACAACCAACTTCATCCATGTACAGCCGCTTGAGCTGCTCTCTTTGAAACTCCAGGGCAATCTCGCCAAAAAGTTTCCCTGACTTTGAATGAACAATTTCCAACTCTCTTTTGGGTGCAGGAACTATCAAAGGCTTGACTTCCTGCTCCCGACTCAGCTCCAAATAATCTCCCATTCTCAACTTATGTTGAAGGTTTTCAACAAATTGATGGTTCACCTTGGGAGGGGACCATTTTCGAGAAAGAAGGTTGCTTGAGGCAGAGACAGAATCTCGATCGGACACCGAGTCCACCATCAAGTCCGCCACGGTAGAACCAGGGGGCAGTTCCTGAACAGTCATCTGCAATTTGCCACAAAAGGGTAAGCGAAGAGTCCGTACTTAACAATAAAGAAAACCTAGCCAACAACAATTACTTCTCACACGTAGATCGCATAACCCATATGATAAAATCCAAAACTGCCGCAGATTAAAAAGAAATATGTGCCGCAGCAGGTCGACTTACATTATCGTCCTCTACCACGATGACAAACAGTGGATCATCGTCACTTTGTGGTGGTAGTGAACAGCCTAGAGCATAAGGGCAGTCGGCACTGTGCTCTGGAAAAGGGCATGGCGGCCTTAAGTCTGCTCGCATAGATGATACCCGCAGCTTGGTGTCCAGAATCTCACTATGCCAAGTAAGAACCCATCTTGCCCACTCCACTTTTTGCAGGAGAAACGAGGAATGTTTGCTATTGTTCTCTTTGTACCTCCAGTGGGCGGCCATGCCATACTCCGCTTGATGATGCATTTCCATTGTCCTGATCTGTACCTCCAAAGGATGACCATCTTCTCCAACAATGACCGTGTGAAGCGATTGATAGCTGCACAGATTTTACAATGCCCCGATCAGCAAACGAAATACAGACGAAACATACTGAAGTTGCACAACCCTTCTGGTCCGCTCACAGCGGAAGTTAAGCATCGAAACATTGGTCACATTGTCTCGAACAACAGCATACCCTACACCACTGAAATTTAGGACAAACAAATGTGTATTTCCATGAACGGGAAGGAAAGATTGTTGAAACCTCAACATACCCGTTGGACTTCGGTTGGCTAATGTAGTCCTTGCACTTCTTAGGAATGTTGTACCATAAACGATGGACCACTTCCAAAGCAGCATAACAACTTTCCTTGTCCTTCACAATCAACCTCAGTCCACGAACATCAAAAATCTCATCAATGCTCCGTCCCTTCCTGCACACACAGAAGAGTCACAAGGTAAGAATATGAATGCATTGCTTTGAGCTTCAAAGGTTCAAATATACTGACCAGAGCTCAAAATTTCATCTTTCGGAAGAAATAAGAGTGTCAAAGCTAACCTGAGCATCTTCCTGTAGATACTGTAAAGGTTTTTTGGGCGGCCGCAAATGTCCGTGAACTCAACTCCCTCCACCCGCAAAGCCTCCTCCAACTGCTGAATGGAGGACAAAACAACATTCGCCTGCCAGCCATGTGCCATTTTCGAAGCCAATTCCTGATGCTCCTGTGGCTTCAAATATTTGAAGCATGTGTCTTCGATCTCTGCTTTCCAGCTCCAAATTCCTAATCTGTTTGCAAGAGGTGCAAATATTTCCAGAGATTCCTCAGCAATACGAATCTGCTTGTCAGCAGACAAGAAGTCCAAAGTCCTCAGGTTGTGAAGACGATCTGCAAGCTTGATCAGAACCACCCTGACATCTACCATTGCTATGAACATAGTTCGCAGGCGGTCAGCTTCTTCCGGGTTCCCAGCGGTGTCATTATCCCGCGCTAACTGACTGAACGTACTCAACTTTGACACCTGAACAACGTAAGAAAACCAACGTCAGTTTCCACGTGTGAAAAGCATACAAGCCTCGGAAGAGCATGTCATCTCAAGCGAATGGAACAATGAGAAGAAACTGCGTAAACTTACCCCAGCAACAAGGTACTCAATTTCACAACCAAACACTGCTCGAAGTTGTTCCTGATCTACAGATGAGTCATCTAAGGTATCGTGCAATAGTCCCGCTGCCACCACAGTTGAGTCTGCGCCGGTCTGCGCGAGGAGAATAGCTGTTTCTACACAATGCGATAGGTACGAATCCCCGCTTCGCCTAACCTGCAATTCAAACGGTAAGGTCAAAGAACCGACTTAAGCAACACGAAAGCTCACGACTTGGCGAACCGTCGGCAAGAAAAAAATCTTCCTAGCCTGGACTAAGACGGGCATTGCGATTGACAGGCAGAAGTTCACTACCCCCCACCATCTACAAACTCTTGAGATGTGTCCAAACTCGAGTACCAGGTCCAAACTTCAAGTTAAAGACAAACCGAACCACCAATCCGCAGTTCGCATTCAGGCCAAGAGAGATGATAACGACGATACTACAACGCAAACTGTGAACTTGATTTCTTTGACACTCGAGCTTCACTTACTTGATTCTTGTGGGCTTCTTCTGCGACCTGGAAAGCCTTGATGACGACGGGGTCTTCGAAAATCTTATGTCGGGCCTTGGCATAAGACAACAAATCATCCGCTGATGTAACCGAACTTGTATTCCTAGGGGGGGAAGAGGGAAGCGGAGACTCCGCAAGCCTTGACAATCTCCGCCTTGTTTCCTGTAGATCCTGCACTTCTCCTTCGGAATTCACCTCGGCACCCTCGTTAGATCGATTGAACCCTTCAACCCGAGAAAAATACCGACCTTTGCTCCCTTTCTCAATATCAGACGAGAGGGGCGCGCCCCCTGTGGAAGAATCGGGAGTCGTAAGTCTGGTCTGATACCCAACAAGATTGCCATCGCCGCCGACTTCGAAGCCCACGCTTCTCGACAGTGGCCGACGTTCGTCTACAGACAGAGAGCTTCTCCTCCTGCTGTGCCGTTCTATGTGGGGATCCAACGGTGGAAGACCTGCAGTGCTCGCAGCGCTATCCCATGCAATCAGCGAGTAGATGGGCGAATTGTGGTGACTGCTTCGAGATGGCGGGCCATGAAGTACCGATACAGGACTCCGCTCTTTCAAACGACATGAAGACACGGTTGGAATACTAATAGATCCACTGCGGCTGTCGGTGATGTCCCAGGCCCCAACATTGTGAGTCAAATCATTCTGCGAGGAACTGCGTGAAAGAGCAGCCCCGCAATTGATTGAAGAATAATCCACACCATCACCGAGAGAGCAGGGAGACAAACAAGAGGGCTTGCCTGAGGGGCTCGAGAAAAGGCCACTCAATCCCCCCAGTGGTCTCGTAGCAGGGCTATTAAGAGAAGTCCGACTAAGACAGTCGATGTCATACACAGATGAGGTAGAGCAGGTCACAGAACTTTGCGTAGTCCAAATTGCCGCAGGGGGCGAGCTGGAGTACAGGGCAATCCCAGCCATGAGCATACCACCTTCCTACCGTCCGATAGCAGGCAAACCCGAGTTCGAGCGCAACTAAACAACCAAATTGGACAATTGCCTCGAGAACAATGCTTCTTCAACTAAACCAGATTCGAGCGCCTGTCAAGCCTCGTCCGTCCACGCCTGTCAATCTACAGCAAGGCAGAGAAAACTTCTGCTCCTAATCTATTCGAACCCTAACGCCTCTTTTGATCGCAAACGCTCCGCTCGAAGAAAACTTTCTAAAACTTCACCAGAAGCCAATCGCTAAAACCTGGACGACACAGAAATCCTCTCAAACACGGTGAGCAGACGATGATACAGCAGGTTCTCTATCCACAGTTCGTCCATATTCAGCGTACCAATCCTCCCGACTTCTTCCACGCCCCAGGGACTGCAGAATGGCAATTAAAATCTAAAAGAACCTCAACACACAACTGCAAACTTGCCGGCTCTCAAACCACTTCACTCCTCGTACAAAACCAACCCCGTCTCGTGTCGGCCAGAACTAAAACCTGCCTCTGGTTATGGAGGGCTGCTTATGAAGGCCAGCCGACGAGGTCGAGTGCAGCGATGGAGGGAGGGAGGGGGCGAGCGAGCGGATAAGCGCGACGGGGCGGGAGCCGCTGGCGAGGGTCAAGACGACGAGTACGAGGACGAGCGGAGAATGAAGAGAGCGAAGGGCGCCAGTGAACGGAAGAGTCCGAGAGACGATTGCGCGTTTTGTCTCACGCTCCCCTCCGTCCGTCGCTCCCAGGGACGGTCCGTCTCTTTGGGGCCACGAAAGCGCGCGGGAGGTCACGACGGTTTAGCCCCAGGTCGCACGCCAACGCGCAAGGACCACATTACCCGTGCCACCGGTGACCGCGAGCCCGCGCCGGCGATCGGCATGCATGTGTTCGTCTCGCTCTCTCTCCCTCTCCGACCATGGTGGCACAACGGGGCGGCGGGGCCCATGCAGCCCTTGGCCGTCCAGTTTGCCTGACACGTGCCCGACGCTTTTGCACAGCTGTTGCATTTCTACGGACTCGGGGCGAAAAGAAACCTTCGTACGCCGGTCTAGCCCGGGCCCTGGACGGAGGCCCTCCCAAACGTGCCGTGCTTCGGACTTCCCTCGGACATTCAGCGCACGTATACCCTCCTCGGCTGGTCGCCGGCGGTTGGTATGTACATACACGTCAGAGCCCTGAGGGTTCGGTATCATTTCGCTTGGCCCCTTCCTACTCGTCTCGAACTGGGCCATTCTCCGTGCATGAACCATCCCGAGCTTACCACGTCTTGCCGCCATCGAGAGCCCCAGGCTTTGTTCCTAGACACGTACAGTAATGCATGTGCTCCAACCATTTACCATTACAACTAGCGTACGTCAATTGAGACATCGTATTTGTACTCTCGGAGGTTTTGTACGATCGCTGATTTTGCATACTGCCGCATTTCAGATCTTCGTCCTTTGAGGCTGCTACAGATCTACCGTTTCTGTCACCCAAATCCAAGAAAACATTTATTTAAGATCTGTAAGTTATGCAGACGGTGTTTCGTCTTCAATTTTCCAAATGTTTAAGAAAAGAATGTGCCCGTCTTTCTTGGTGCCTCGGTCGAAAATATTCTGTAGGTGTTTAGAACCAATCGAATGTGGAGATACATTTCGTTTGAATCTAGATTGTGAGTATGTACTTTTCTAGAAATGATTATGTTGACGAAACCTTCGCTTGTATGTCATTCTGACAATTAACCGATTTGTTCCTTTACTCGTGATAAACACAACATACCTTGCTTTAGGGTCGAGAATGAAATATTAGCTATTCTCAACTCAATTATCACAAGAGTAAACTCAGATGTAGAATATCATCACACTGGCCTCTTGCCAGTCAATTCAAAGGTTGACACTGCTTTCTGATTGCCCATGTAATTAGAAACATGACCATTTTCGTTATTTCAACAGCATGCATCAGTCATAGACCGATTTTTTTAATCTCCTTGGAAAACTTGAAGCAAATAAATGTCGGCCCAGATTTGTATACACTCTGGATCCGTCTTTCGGGGCCACAGAGCCTAAAACATGACACGCAGGGCACTCAGTTTCCCTTCATCCGTGATGGACATTAACTTATAGCCGATTCTACCGTAACGGACGGCGATAAATACAGACGACAACGATTTGGACGGTAGTGGATGGCAACGGACAGCGGAAGCGGTGACCGCTCACTCCTTGACCTTGGACCCTCACGCTCCTGCTGACCCAGCACATTCTTCAAGAACCCGTGTCTAACTCCCAAGGCCGTCAAGAACCTCAGGCTCCACCCGCGGGCGTTCCTCACGGAAAAGCGGTGGGTCCCGTCCTTCGAAAGGAACGGATCCAGGAAGGTTGCGTCAGGCGAAATATCTTTTCTCAACATCTTATTCGTCGATCGCCGCTCTTATACTGAAAGACTTTCCGCATTCGCATCGGGGGAATGACCACGGACCTTCCAAACCAAGCGGAAGAGGACTCAAGGGGGGCTGCATAATCAACCACGGTCAGCAGTCAACCCTCGGAGCAGCATACATTGTCAAGGGGAATGTGCGCAGCTATACCTCCCTTTTGCACCTACGGACACGATCAACTGTCATTCAGTTTATGTACTGTGTATTTGACTGCATGTCTATTAGCATACTGTACCTAAATCCATACCGTAGTCTAAACCGGCAGTCATAGCATCGTGTCACCGAGAAGTCCGTGCTCCAAAGTTACGGTCCTCTGTAGAGAGAGTGGAGTGAACTCTACGTTTCATACCGCTCAAGGGTACAGAGTACGCAACACGTCAATCGGAGACACATTGTATTTCGGAGACATTAGGATGTGGATATACGCCAACACTGAAGTAGATTACAAGCATCCATCCAGTCTGGATGTATAGTTGCATGAAACTAAACCCTAATCTAGAGTGCTCCACAGGACCCTAGTAATTATATTTGAAAAGTATCTAAGAGTCGGAGAAAATTTATTAGCAATCACATCTTATGGACTCGGACTAAGGAGATCTCTGGATCAAATGTAAAATTACATGCTACAAGACATCTCTTGCAAGTTTTAACCTTAAAACACGAATCTCTTCATTTTTTCTGAAAATTTGAGATATATCTAGCAATCATTGATGATGCATATATTTAGATTGCTCTTGAAAATCATTGCAAGAAAAAATAATACAAATAAAAATCTTTCACATAACACATGCTGAGTTCAGAACACTTTAGAAAATGGTGAATTCATCCAATCATGATGGTGCTTTATATTCCTAGGGTTTGATGATCGATCGTAACAAGTCTATGAAATACCAACCACTCATACACAAGTAAAATGTGTAATGAACTGTGCATTCATCGGGTGTCTCGTACTCATGCATATGTATGTCACGTGATTGTGGGTCATACATATTGCGTACTCCGATGAGAAAAGAGTCCCATGAGTCATGTGTATGGAGTCCTTAGTACTGTGTTACTACACGTTTTAATTGCGAGCAATCCGCAATCACGGAGGTCCTCAACAATTGAGGAATCCAGTACATACGGAAACGTCTTTGGTGCCGACGGGCGCTCAATCATAACCCCCCCTGCAGTAAGCTAATGAGTGACGGTCCAGGTGTGAAAAGAACTTCTAGCCATGACATGCGTGTACAAACCTTGATGATATGATTCTCACCAGAATTGCATCATCCTTTATCCAGATCAACATCCAACCATTATAAGATATTTGCATTATAATTTACGTGTGACATCCTGAACTGTTTTACGGGTGGAAAGTTGACTAGAGAGCGAGACCATCTGCGATAATAATCTTCGGTGCCAATGAAAAGCAAAGTACGGAGATAAGTGAATCAAACAATGGGGAGTTCGCAGTAGTTGTAAGTCGACATCAGAAGACGGATATGGTTGAAGTACTGCAGTAACAAGATCTGTTGAGTGATGTGAGGCAGCCTCCAGCACGATACAAGAAACGAAGTTCGGTTAAGACCATGTTCGCTAGGTGACAAGTGGAACAACGTCGTGGTGACCGCAAACATTTGGTCTTAAACCAACAATGTGGCGAGACCGAAGAACCTCCTGACATGGCAATGCTTACTGTATTTTTCTTGACCCCTCAAATCATATTTCTGTGGAGGCAATGTACCCAATCACGACCTGGCAAGTGGTTGCAAATGTACCTGAAGGTGAAACCGGAAGTTAGCTCTGGGTGTGAATCGAACCCACAAGTTGCACTTGCAACGGGTGACCGTCCGATGTGGCAAAGTTGACCCTAGTCTGTAACCCGATGATTGGAACAAGTCACGGGTGGTATTGCTGACTAGATCTACACAATTGGTCCAAAATCATTGCCATGTGGTGCATCTGGACGGCCTCGGCTCAGCACTCACTGACATGTACAGTGCAGTGCTGGAGCAACCCACCGGCGCCATGGCTTCGGTGAAGTTAACTTGCTCTAAAGTGGCCGGTTTAGTGCCGCCAACGGGAACAGTTGAACATTCCAGCACAAGGATGCTGACCAGACTTTCCAATAACCTGTCCACGACGTCGCCGCCAGTCTGACTAGATCTCCACCAGGAAACAGGAACAATCAGAAGGTGTGAACGGAAACGCCCCCTGGGGTTAATGCCCCTAGTCCCAACCAGTCTGAGCTAACCACTAGTCTCCAAGTGGGAGGAGTCCGCCGGCATCTTTGGATGGGCTCTCTTACTGCTCAGAAGTAAATGGCTTCAAGCACTCATAGGAGTCAAATCCGGAAATGAACTCGAGTTCAAACCTTCCGCCCCGCGGTTTCTAACTCGATGACAAGTGGTGTTTCAACCATGGTGAGGGCCCGCGGTGGACGACACGTCGTCGACGTGTGATGTGTCCCCACGTGATGGCCACATGGGCTGGGAGAACTCTCATACATGTTCGCTTCGCACTGTGAGACCGAACGGCCGTGAACCAGAGGGTGGAGTGTGTTCGCACTGGGCGCCAGGGTTCGAACGCCACTTCGGAACGCTACTGCTCCGTCATTGGGAAAGTCTTCATGTCAACACGTGGTGACATGAACGAATCACGGCCCCAATTACCTCCTCCTCCTCGTCGAGAAAGAATATATCGACTTTACTCCGCTTTCGTCAAGTATCTCTGTTGATCTTTGTAGGGTCGGGTTCACGTGAACTGAGGAGGAAAAAGACGCCATTCTTGTAGGAAGGGACATCCCGAGTCTTTGTCTGTAGTTCGAATCAGATCTCCAATTTTCTTGCCATGGGCCACGTCCCGACGATAGTGGAACATGTTCATTGTTGGCATGGTTGATGACAGTTCTTGCGAGCACCAGTTGTAGGACGTTAAATCAACTGTGGGTCCATCCCTTGGACAAAAGTGATTACAAATCTATCTAGAAAAAATTTTAACAAAGCTGGCGTGAGAGCCAGATTAGATTAAACGTGCTTCCTTCTTCTTCTTCTTCTTTTTGGGAAGTGGAAAACTGCATCAGGAATCTTTCCGTACTTCTAAGCTTGATGTAAGTTTCAAGCATATTACTTTTGTAAATTGTTTCTTGTACGGAAGAAATTTAATTCCTGTAACGAGGAAATGTGGACCTTTGCACAGCATTCCTGGTGATTATGATGCAATCCAACCTAC